CAGCTGTGGCTCCATGATAGCTCAGCCAGCAGCAGGAGACAATGCACCATGTGGGATGTACAGCCTGGTGTGGGGTATATGGAGTGGGACACCAGACTGCAGTGAGAGAGGTCATGCCATGCGAGACATACTGCATGGGGTGGGATGTACCGCACTGGATGCTGCATGAGGTGCCAGGCTGTGCATGGGCTGTGCAGGACACTGGGCTGTGGGAGGAGCAGAGGGGATACACAGGCTGCCCACCACCCACAGGGCAGGCAGGGCTGACGAATCACCCGGCAGTGTCCCCTCAGGCAGCCATTAGAGGAAGGGTACAGGGTCCCCTTGCAGCCTATGTCTATGCCTCTCCTGCAACTCCCACCCTGTGAGCCAGCCCGTGGAGCAGTCCAGGATCCTTTGCCTGCTGCAGGGTTTCCAGCTGGCTTGGCTTTGCCTCACCTCTTCTCTCCCTGAAGCTGGCCTAGCATTCCCCAGTCCCAGCCCCAGGGACCTCTTGCTGTCCCTCCTGCTTCATGTCTCCAGGACCTTGCCAGATTCCAGACTGTCCTGGAGATGCCACAGCCACTCCCCCCCAGCCTGCCCTCCCTAGGGCCCCGTCCTCACATCCTGGTTGCCCTGGCTTGTCCCAGAGATCCCAGTGCCCAGCCTGTACGCCCCAACTTGCCTCCCCCATGCCAGAGCCTCACAGGGCTCTGAACCCCATCAGGTCTTTGCCCAGATTTCCCTGCTGTGCACAACTGCTGTCACCTCCCACTATCCCCCCTGAAGCTGCAGATCTCCAGTTCCTCCACCGTGGGGGGGCACCCAGCACCAGCAGCTGCAAAGCTTGCTCAGGATGCCCCCTCCATCCCTGCCAGCACAGGAAAACCTTCCTGGCAGCACCCTGCCCACAGCACGGCCTCCCCAGCCCCATGCACCCGCTGCTCCCAGCAGCATCCCCCACACACACACCCCTTGCCCAGGCGCTGCCCCCCCCCTCCAGACCACACTGTCCTTGCAGTCCTCACATTCCAGACGTCTCAGCGCTTTCACAGCCCAGAGATAATATTCACGGCGAGCAGACGTTTGCGTCAGTGTCAGATAGATCTCAATGCCACCCTGCCCCAGGGGGAGAACAGCAGGCAGACAGGCAGGCAGAAGCCCACGGCAGAGCCCCCTGAGCCACTGGCCTGCTGCACACCCCACAGTCATGCTGCTCCTCCTGCACCTGCTGCCTGCCATGCTGCCCACTGCTGCCCTGGCCAGCTGCACTGGGGCAGGTGCTGACAGGCAGCTCATCCTGGCCAAGGTGCGGGCTCGGGTGCTGGAGCATCTGAGCCCCCCACTTCTCCAGGAGAAGCCGCAGACGGAAGCAAGGAGGGTACACCGGAGAGACATCCTTGAAGACGCTGAAGTTGAGCCAGAGGAGCTGGAGGACACCTCCCAGGTGATCTTGTTCCCTTCCACAGGTGAGAACATCATGGTGGAATGGAGAGGGCAGAGGGGTAAGCAGGGTGGGGCCTCAAGGCAACACAGATGCTGAAGGATGGAGAGGCTGCTGTGGTGGTCTGCAGGAGAAGGGAAAGAGGGTATGCCAGGCTGGGGCACGGGCATGGGCAAGATTTGGTGGAGAGCCAGGAGGGGGAAAGGTATGGCAGGCAGGGACAGGCAGCCCAGTACAGACAGGGAGAGCAGCCCAGTACAGACAGGGAGAGGTGTGGGCAGCACAAGAGAGTGCTAAGAGGCTGAGGAACATCTGGCCAGGCAGGATGCAGAGACGGGTAGGGCTGAGGTGCAGGCAGGGTGGAATAGGGTGGGATGTTAGGGAGTAGAGCAGGATACTAGAAAATGGGATGGAATACAAAGGGACAGAGCAGGATGCTGTGGGATAGGGCAGGATGACCAGCTATAAAGCACAACAGTGGGAGATGGGGCAGAATGCTGGGGGATGGGATAGGATGTGGATGCTGGGGGAAGGCAGCAGGATGACCAGCTATGGGGCAGGACACTAGGAGGTGGGGCAGGATGCTGGGGCAACACTAATGGACCAGCCCAGGGCATAAGCAGGGCTTGGCTGTGGGACACAGCACAGAAGCTGCTGTGTAGCACTAGACAGCAGCTCCCCTGCACCCTGCCACAGCCTATGCTGGCAGCCAAGTGCCCTGCCAGCATCCCAGGGACCCTCTGCAACATTTCCCCTGCCGCCTGGCACTGGGGTACTCTCCCCAGGTTTGGGCACACACCCTGATCATCTTTTCCCCACCACAGATGTGCCCTGTGAGCCCACACAGCCGGACAAGTTGCTGGAGGAAGAAGGGATTTTCAGCTATCTCTTCCAGCCCTCAGCACACACCCTGAGCCGCATGGTGACTTCTGCCCAGCTCTGGTTTTACACTGGTCCTTTGGCCACCCTGAACCACTCAGCCCCTGACGTGCTGGCCCTGTCACCACAGGGCCGGGTGCCGGTGACAGCCATGGCAGAGCAGACACCCGAGCACTGGACAGTGTTTCACTTGGCCCCCGTGCTGCTGCCCCAGCTCTCGCAGCCACTCTTTGTGCTCCTGGTGCGCTGCCCTGGCTGCCCCTGCCTGGCCGAGGGGGACAAGATGCCCTTCTTAGTGGCCACCACCCAGGCCAAGGGCAGTGAGAGGGCTCGTCGCTCCACCATGCCCTGGTCCCCAGCTGCACTGAGCCTGCTGCAGCGCCCATCCGAGGACTTGGCTGCCCACACCAACTGCCGCCGGGCTTCCCTCAACATCTCCTTTGAGGAACTGGGTTGGGACAAGTGGATCGTGCATCCCAGCAGCTTCGTTTTCCACTACTGCCATGGGAGCTGCACCGCGGGCCATGGGCTGAGCCACCGGCTGGGCGTGCAGCTCTGCTGCGCTGCCCTGCCCGGCACCATGCGCTCCCTGCGCGTCCGCACCACCTCCGATGGCGGGTACTCCTTCAAGTACGAGACAGTGCCCAACATACTGGCCCAGGACTGTACCTGTGTCTAGAGCATCCCACAGCCCAGCCCCAGACTGTGATCCCACTGAGAAGGAGTTGCTTTCCCACTGGGACCTTGGCCCCACACTGCAGGGACCAAAGGGACCTGGAGGAGCATTTTGGGCTGTGCCACCCTCCCCTGCACAAGTCAGAGTTTTGGGCTGCCCCAGGTACTATCACACTGCCAGACCTGCCCTAGGGCCAGTCCCTGCCCAGAGCAAGTTGGGGCATGGCAGGGCAGGGATAGGCACAGCCTCTGGCAAAGGCACCATTGCCCTGCCAAAGCCAGGCTGCTGTCTGCAACCAGGTTAGCCGCCGTCTCTCTCCACCTGCTCCCCTCCCTCAATTCTGCCCCTCCCCAAAGACTGGGGTCCCGCTTCTACTGCAGAATTCAACAGCCTCCCTGTGCTCCAGGCAGGGCCAGGCAGCTGCAACAGGATCAGATTGTGCCTGGGCAAGCCCACAACAGGACCTCACACTGGTAGGGCTGGTGGCATGCATGGCACCGCAAGTGAGCCCTCTCCCGGCAGCACAGCTTGTTGGAAAGCTTAACGGGACGAGTGAAATAAACGTGCTCCCTTTACTAAAGCAGTGTGGAAATGTCAGCTTCCATCAGAAGCAGCCACGGAGGTGGCATGCAGTTTGTGCAGTGGGATGCAACCTTCCTGGGGGGCTTCTAGATGGAGAAGTGAGGGGACGGGCAAGTACTTTATAGGCATCCAACTCTGACCTGGGGTACCAGAGAGGGGACTGGGGTCTGCTGGCCAAAACTGGCATGGCATGGCTGGGTTTGATATTGTCCTGGGCACGGAAGCACAGGGCAGAGCAACATCCCTTCTGCTCCGGGCAACAGGTTGTAGAGGAACAGGAGTGACAGAGGGATGAGGAGGCATGGGGATGGTGGGAGGATGGGGAGGAACGGGAAAGCCCCTCACCCGGCCCCTCAACAGGGATAGGGCCAAATAGGAATGCAGCCAGAGCAATTCTTCTCCACCAGGCCGATGATGAAAGCTGCCCCGTCACAGCCTCTGCAGAGCGGGAACGACTGAGTCACCCTGGGCAGCAGGGAGGTCCCAGCCCAGCCACGTAGGATTCCCTTCCCACCCCTTCCTCCCAAAGGACCAGATGCAGCAGTTCAGTACAAAACGTCTTCAGCCTTTACTAATATAGATATTAAAAAAAAAAAAGGAAGAAAAACAGTGACAATCATTTCCGAGTAAAAAACAACGCTACAAAAGTCCCCGTGTGACCCAGGCTGAGATGACAAGAAATGCTCCACTGGCTCCTGGCCGAGCCCAGCTCGGGGCACCATGTCCCCACACTGTGGGGCCAGGGTCTGGCTCTGTGTGGGGGGTCCCAGCCCCGCAGGCAGAGTGGGAGGAAATGAGTTTTGGTCCAAGGGCGACCTGCCAGGACAGGGCGGAGACAGCGGGAAGGACAGCCCCTGACCTCTGCACAGACATTTCTGAGCAGGCCAGCCCACAGCTCACAGCCCCGTGCCAGGATGCTGTGCAGCATGGCCATACTGGCCCTTTCCAGCAGCAGTGCTGCCAGGACCCCTTCCATCCCCTCCACTTCAAGTGTAATGCCAGCCCAGCTCTCTGTCCCACAGCTCAGCCCAGCCAGCCAGACCCCCAGCCTGCTCCCCTAAAGCCCCACACCTTGGGGGCAGTACCAAAATCACCAGCATCACCCACAGATGCACAGCACTGGACAGTGCTGCAGTGGGTGGCAGCTAGCATAGGGGGCACAGGGAGGTGTGAGGAGAACATGCTGCAGAAAATGGGTGTGGGAGGAGGAAAAAAGGGTGAAATGGGAGATGGGGGAGCACAGACCCAGAAGGGATATCAGGATGGAGTATAAAAATGCCAGGGTGCACACGCTGATGAGTTTATAAAAATGTACAAAAATAAGATATTCCCTTTTTGAAAATTAAGTAGGAATGAACCCCATGGCCCCCATCCCCTCCACTGCCCACCAGGACAGGGCTTGCCAGACTGCCCTGCTGGGCAGGCACATGGCATCCTCCAACTCCTGGCAGGACGCCTGTCCCATGGTGGCGGCGCCAGCCGCTCCAGCAGTCACCGCCGTCATCCCTGGTGGCACTCACAGCCCTGTGGGAAGCAAGAGGCAGGTTAGTCCCGGCCCCAGGTGGGATGGCATCCCCTCTCCAGGGGAGCCTAGAAGCACCCCTCCATGCCCTCTCCCCAGCTCACCCGTGGTCCTGTCGCAGGCAGTGGTCCCCTTCTCGTGGGCGAGGTTGAGGCGGTTCTGCTCGGCAGCAATGCCGTTGGCCTCAGGACTGCTGCTGCGGGCAGGGCTGGGGGGCCTCGGAGGGGGCTGGAGGTGGAAGGCCACCTCCAGGTGCTCCTGGGCCAGGCGCAGATGCTCACGCAGCCGGTCCAGCTCATGTGCCGGGGGAGCCCCAGCCAGAGCGAAGCGCCCCTGGGCCAGGCTCTCCTGGTAGTCCAGCTTGCCGTTGGTCAGTGGGGCTTGTGGCAGCTCCTTCTTCAGCGAGTGGTAGGTGGGAGGTGCACTGGGGGCTTTCTTGGGGTACTGTGGTGCAGGACTGTCGCCAATTGGGAGCGGAGGGCCACCAGACTGGCTCAGGGCATCACGGATGCGCCCCACACCAAGGTGCAAGAGCTCACAGAGGTTGAGGAAGAGGCAGAGCCCACTGACAGCATACATGATGAGGAGGAAGATGGTCTTCTCGGTGGGGCGGGAGACAAAGCAGTCGACGGTGTGCGGGCAGGGGCTGCGGCTGCAGACGTAGGAGGGGCTCACCTCAAAGCGGTACAGCAGGTACTGCCCAAAGAGGAAAACCATTTCTAGCAGTGAGCGGCACAGCAAGTGCAGGACATAGGCACGCATCAGCCCATCCTGCTTGATGCGGCGCCGGCCATCATGCTTCTCTCCGCCCTCTGGACTCTTCTCCTTCTCCACCTCGATCTCCTCAAAGATCATGGGGTCTTCTTCGTTATCATCTTCTGCCTCCTCGTAGTCCCGCCCGGCTCCCCGGCGCACCACCGGCATGCGAGCCCGCCGGGCTGCTGGTGTCCGGCGCCGTGAGGACTCAGGCATGCGAGCGATGCGGTGCATGGCAAAGCCCAGGTAGAGCACTGATGGCGTGGCCACCATGATGATCTGGAAGATCCAGAAGCGGACGTGGGAGAGGGGGGCAAAAGCGTCGTAGCAAACGTTCTCACAGCCCGGCTGCTGTGTGTTGCAGACAAACTTGCTCTGCTCATCGTAGTAGATGGACTCACCCCCCACGGCTGTCAGCACGATGCGGAAGACAATGAGAACAGTCAGCCAGATCTTGCCTACAAAGGTTGAGTGGTTGTTGATCTCCTCCAGGAGCCGTGTCAGGAAACTCCAGCTCATCCTGGCTAGGCAGTTGACTCAAACCCTGTGGGGAAGGGGCAGGCAAACAGGCACTGAGAGAATGTGCATGCACCTCACAAGACTTGCCAGTCCACCAGATCCCACCTCAGCTCCCTCCTGCTCCCTTTCCCTCCAACATCCCTTCCCTTACCCACAGATCCACAAACACAGCCCTGCTCAGGCAACCATCTCCCCAAAACTTTGTCCACCACCACGCAATGCCTCCCTATGCTCCCATCTGCATCCTGCTCCCGCCCTGTCGCCAGCCAGGTGGGTGGACGGAACTTGGGAAAAGGCTGGGACATCCTGGTTCCCTGCAGGGACACATCTAGGGGAAAAGTCAGCACAGTCACAGCCAAACACGTCAGCACAGGGCAGTACCAGCTGGGGACTGTGAGGGGGCAGGCAGAGGCAGAACCACATCCTCTCCCCCATTTGCCATCTGGCCCTGGGCAGGTCCTCAATCAATGCTGCACCCTGTGACAGCATCCACACCCTCCCATGGGGGTCCACAGGCCCCTAGAGGGCATGCAGCAGCCCCACTGGCCCACTGCAGCTGCCAGCCCTGAGCCCTGGCCAAGGGGGGATCCCCTGAGGAGCAACCCCCACCATGTGCTCAGGAACCAGGTGTTCTGCACCCCACAGAGCTCTCCCCTGAGGGCCAGCAGAGATGCAGCATCACTCTGCCCCTCCAAATCTCTGTGCTGTGCCCTTTCTCCTGCAGGACCCCCAGCCTCCAAAGCACACAGTGGCCAGTGGTCAGAGCAGCCTGAAGGCCAATGGCAAGGGCTGGCAGGGGGAATGGAACAGGAAGCAGGACAGTGATAGCAAGGGGCAGCGTGGGGCAGCCAAGGAATTGCACAAAGCCCTGGCAAAGCAGCTGACACCAGAGAGCAGGGAGGAAATTGCAAGGACCACATCGCAGCTCCCAGCCAAAGGAGAAGACACAAGAGGAGACACCTCACTGCCACCCCTGGTTTCAGCAGCTTGTGCATGTGATGATGCAAGGGCAGCAAGTGGCAGGGCTGCCTAGGGCAAGCAGAGGGGATGCATCCCCAGTTTCTCCTGCCAGCCTCATTCCATCACCTCCAGCCACGGCATGTCCCTAAGGATGACCACTGCCACTGCACTCATGCCACTATTGTCCAGAATAAGAGGATCTTTCAGGCTTAGTTCAGCCTGCCTCCTGACCAACCCCACCTAAACAGAAGAGCTCCTCCATCACAAGCATCCATGCTGGAGACATGCTCTTGCTGACGTCCTGGTGCCCAGCAGAGCCTGCTGAGCTGTGGGAGGTGGCACAGGCTGGCACTGGGGATCCAAACCCAGCCCATCAGGGCCACCATCCTCCTGTGGTCAAACGCCCTGCAAGATCTCACTGCTGCCCCGTACCACAAGGGCCCTCTCCCCCACCACCTCACTGGAAGGAGGATGCTTTGTGCCTCCTTTAGCCCTTGTCTGCAGCAGCACACTGCCCTAGCATGAGGGTGAAGGGCTGGGGCAGAGAACAAGGTGAGGGGAGCAGGCAGGAGGGCAGCCCTGGGAGGCAACAAGCACATGGAAAGCAAAAGCACATGTTGGCACTGTAGTGGTGGTCATGGAAGAATGACATAGAGATGGCCAGCAGCGTGGAATGGCAGCAGCAGTGGGCATGGCCAGGGCAATATAGAGCTGCCCTCAGCTTCTCCCCCACCAGAGGCAGGTGGCCAGAGTCCAGCTCTGCCAAGGGGCACAGCCATCCAGGGCCTCCTGGCCATGCTGGGAGTCAGGACTAGCACCACACACGCTGGCTCGGCCCTACATCTATGTCTCAGCCCTACTGACCCCAGTCCCCCTACCTGGGGCCCCCAACCACCTCCACCCCTGACTGCACTGTCGAGGGCCCCCAGTCTCCCCTGCCCAGGAGCATAGCAGCAGGCATGCCACTTCGGGGCTCACCAGCCCCGACCCGCCCGGGGACCTCTGTTCCACTGACCCCTGCCACTCTGGGGACCCAGCCCACAACCCCAGCCTTCCCGGGGTCCCCAGTCCCACTGACTCCAGCCCAACGGGAGCCTCATGCCCAGCTGCCCCCACCGCCTGCCCGAGACCCCCAGCCCCTCGATCCTCCCTGCCCGCGCCCCATCCCACGCCTGTGGTCTCGCTCCCGGGGCAACCGTCGCCTGCCCACCTGCTCCCCGCTGCCCACCGCCCCGCGCCCTCGCGCGCCCCCCGCGCATCCGCAGCCCCACTACACGGCCGCACACGGGACGAGCGTGGCTCACCGCCAGCCAGCGGCGGACAAAGCCGCGGGCGGCGCGCCGCAGCCTCCCGCCGAACAAAGGGGCCCGGGCCGCGCCGCCTCCGCCCCGCGCGCCCCCGCCCGCCGGTGTCGTACCCGACCCGCCCCGCTCCGCACCCGGCCCGCCGCACCGGCGGCCCGCTCCAGTGTGCCAGTGTCCGCGCTCCGCGCGGCCGCGCCACGCGCGGCGCGGAGCTGCTGGCGCCCGTTCCGGCCGGCCGGCCCCTGGGGCGGTGCCGCCCTCTGGTCCCCCCCCGCCGCGGCTTGGGAGGCCGCGCTAGGACTGTGGGCAGGGGCCGGACGCCGGCCGAAACTGCGCCCGGAAGGCGCGCTACCGCCCACAGCTCCATCCAGCGCCGGGCTGATGCCGGTTCCCGCCTCGGCCGCCGCCCCCGCGGAGCATTGGCTTCCGGCAGGCCGCTCCCGGGAGGCGAAGCGAAGCGGAGGCTTCCTGCCCACCGCAGGAGAACGCTCAGAACCGCGGGTGCGGCTCAGCCCGCGGGGTGTTCAGGGGTGAGCCCGGCCGCAGAGGGAGAGGAGGGAGCCACCGCTCCGGCCGTGAGAGTCTCCTGCACAATAACCTCCTGCCCCTCGTAGCATTCTTCTCCTCCGAGTGGAGAGAAAGTATGGAAGAAAGGAGAGATCCGATGGCGTGGCCTCAGACGTGGTGGGAACGCAGAGGAAGATGTGTCTGTGTGGTGGGAATGTGCCTCAAACCTTTTGAAGCCCGTGCTGCTTCTTGTGTTCCAGACCAGGTCTCTGCAGCAAGACGGGGCTGACCATGCAGTACCTCCAGATATGCCCTTATAGTCAGCACTGTTCCCCCAAGGCCAGCACAATGGCAGCAGTGGCTTTGAGTCACCACTCTGGAGCAGTGGGGCTGTCCCTCCATTCAAGCAACCCAACCACTCACTTTCTGCACTGCTAAAATTGGCTCTGTGGAGATTTTGTTGGTGCTGAGTCTCCATGCTGGTGGGCCAACCACACCAGTGATGTCCTGGATAGAGCATCCTGTCCTTGTGCCCTGGTGTGGGGATGAGGAGGGATGCCAAGCAGCCTTGCACAACCCAAACACTCAGGGGAAAGCTGTGTTGCGTGAGCTCATGAAATGCTGCTTCTCCTCAATGAAACATGTGGTCCCTTCTGCAGAAGGGTTTCTGGTGGTTTCAGCACTGGTGGGTTCAGCACTAGGGGCTGGCTGGCTGGGGGAGGACTGACACCTTGAGGCTGGGGCAAGGAGAGGGGTAGGAAGTGTGGCCGGCACATCTAGTGTGGGGTTTTTGTTACTCTGCAGCAGCCCTGCTGCTTCCCTAAGTCACCAATGCTACCATGGTATTGTAACAGCACTCGCAGAGCCCAGGCACAGACTTGGTGCTCTTACATGGGAGGGCTACTGGAGCACCCCCAAGAGCAATGGGCTGCACCCTGACATGGGTGTGGGTGTGTGCACAAGAGGCTGGGCAAAAGAGCCCTGCTTTCAGCTCCCTTGCTCAATCCTTCCTTCTTCCCAGCTCATGAATGTGTCAGTCCCCTCTTATGGAGGGAGAGCTGCTGCAGAAGAAAGGGGATTTGACCTGGATATGAAGAAACGCTTTCCATTGAATGCTGTTCCTATGCATGCAACTACAGCATTAACGTTTCTGTACAGGGAATAAATGCATGCTTCAGATTTAGCACAGACACTCTGGTCACAATCTCCATCACAGGTCAGGAGAAACAGGAAGACATGGATGCAGGGAGGCATTAAGTTGAGCACAGAGACTCAAGCTTTTGGAAGGATATAGGGAAGCATTCAAGGCCAGAAAGGAACCCCCTTTTTTGCAGGTCAGCATGGAGAGGTGGGAGCAGGGCAGGGGGCTACCAATATGAGGGCAGCATCCCATCATGCTGGGGATGTCAAGCAGCACACTGCCTATGTTGAAACTCCTGCTCTTGCCAGCAATTAAAGTGGCTTGGGGCTTTCTTTCTCACAGTCACCACTAGTTTTCAAGTGCTTCCAGGTCTCACCTCCAGCTGGCTTCACCCCCGGATAGCCAAGGAGTTTGCCAGAGGTAAAGGATCTATGTGACCCTTTGACTCTGATGCTCACCGTGTTAAGAACAAGCCCCTGTTTCACCAGCCTCACATTAAAGTGAGGAGTGTGACCCCTGAGGCTCTGCAAACTGAAGCTGTTGAACCCAGAATGAAGCTGCTTGTTGGGTGGGGTCAGGCACCACTGCTGCAGCAGTTTTGCACAGCACAGCTCAGCCCATGCCTGGACTGTGGGACAGAGCTTGCCTTGGGGGGCCAAGCCCAGGGGGTGGTGTTGCCCATCCCATGGACAGCCATTACTGTGCTTGTCAGCATCTGGCCATTGGCATCAGAGCCCTCCAGCTTCCCCTGTGATGGTACCCTGGGTGTTCCCGGGCTCTACCCTTTTCTTCAGCTTACAACATCCAAATGCCCACAGAGGCATCGCCCTTTCAGCCTGGGACAGAGGGCAAACCCACATCATCCGGGAAAGGAACAGTGGATGAAGGGCGTTGCCTACCCACATCCCTTTCCACATCAGCTGAGGCTGACAGAGCATCGTGGGCAGGAAGGATGTCCAGACCAGCAGCATCGTGGGCTCGAAGATCAGCTTTGCAGAGGAAACAGGGGCACCGTCACCAACCGCAAAAACCAGGATCAGCCCCAAACTACTGACTCTGTGTAGCAGAGCCATGACAGGGCAGCTGCACAGCCCAGCAAGAGCAAGGGGAGCTGGTAATAGAGATAGTGGCTGAGGGGGAGCATAAGCACAGGG